CCCCTATGTGGGTCTTTGAGAAGCACAAGTCTTCTGCAGCTGACAAGCCCTGCCGCCCACAGGTCCACACACAGAGTCAACACAGTCCTGCCCCATGTGTGTGCCCCGACCTCCTGAAGCAGACCCAGTCTCTCCATGGCGGGAGCCCCACACACTCCACCACTGCCCTACACTCTCCACCCGCTCCTTGTGCACGCCCTGCCCCACTGAAGTGGGCTCAGTTGCCAGGCTGCAGAGAATCCAGTCACCAATCTATGCAGGCCCACAAGTTGCCTGAGGGCTTGTTGTTGGGTGGGGCCAGTCTCTAGGGTGGGCTGCCTGCCCTGGCTCAGCTGGATTAAATCGGTGCTCTAGCGGGTGAGGCAGACCTGGGCTAGCAGGCCTCAGGGAGAACTCCAATGGCGTCTGTGTCAGCTCGCCCACACTAGGCCACAGCAGTGGCCTCCGCCAATGTCCCAGTCCCTGGAGAGGTCTCACCTCTCACTGAGATGCACTCAGGGACTGTCAGGTGAGTCTCTTTTCACCAAAGCACTATGCACCTTTCTTTCTGGTGACTTTAGGATGCTTTCTGAAATGGGTGAGTTTGTCCACAGGCCCTTTAAGATCCAGTTTTAATTTCTTTGTGAACCAGCTTTTCTGGGGGTACTCCCCAATGTTTTAGGAGCAGGCAAAGTCAGATATTATGCCACTCGTTTCGATTGTGCTGGGTCCACGAAATGCCTACAGTCGGGGTGCTCCCCGGCTCAGGGCCCCGTGCCTCCACGGAGGCTCCGTACCTGTGGGCTGCTCCCGGGCGGCCGTGAAGCTGGCGGCTTGTGAAGACGGCGTTTGTTCTCTCCAGAAGGGAGTTTCTGCCTCTTCCACCTCAATTAGGATTGTCCTTTGTTGCAGGAGTTCCTCTTATCCAGTTTTCAGTTCTGTCTCAGTTTCAGTTCTGTCAGTTTTTCCACGAGTAGTTGTAAATTGACTGTGTCTGCGGGAGGAGGTGAGTTCAGAGTCTGCTTACGCCGCCATCTTGGCTTCACTCCTGTGCCATTCCCTTCTAATTTGTAAGGTTTTTGCTGAGAAGTGAGCTGATAGCTTTATGGGGTTTCTTTTTTAAGTAACTTGTTGTCTTTTTCTTGCAGCTTTTAGGATTCTCTCTTTGTCTTTAACTCTTGAGACTAATTATAATGTGTCTTGGTGTGGGCCTCTTTGGGTTCACCTTGTTTGGTACTCTTTGTGCTTCCTGTACCTGGATGTCTGTTTCTTTCCTCAGGTTAGGGAAGTTTTCAGCTATTATTTCTTCAAAAAGGTTCTCTGCCCCGTGTCTCTCTCTTCTCCTTCTGGGACATCCATAATATAGATGTTAGTGTGCTTGGTGTTTTGTCCCAGAGGTCCCTTAGACTGCCCTCCTTCTTTTTACTTCTTTTTTCTGTTCAGCTTGGGTGATTTCCTGTAGTCTTTCATCTAGCTTACTGGTCCGTTCTTCTGAGTCATCTGCTCTGCCGTTGATCCCCTCTAGGGAGCTTTTCAGATCCATCATTGTATTCTTCAGTTCTGATTAGTTCTTTTAAATATTTTCCAATTCTTGATTGAAGTTCTCACTGAGTTCATCCATTCTTTTTCCAAGATTAGTGAGCATCCTTATGACTGTTAGTTTGCGCTCTTTATCATGTAGATCATTTGTCTCTGTTTTGTTTAGTTCTTTTTCTGAGGATTTGTCCTGTTCCCTTATTTGGAACATATTCCTTTGTCCCCTCATTTTGCCTACTTCTCTGTGCTTGTAGTTATGTATTAGGTGGATCACCTACGTCTCCCCATCTTGGATATGTGGCCTTATGTAAGAGGTCCCTTATGGGGCTCGGCAGTGTGATTTCTTCTCATTATCAGTTCCAAATGTCCCAGGAGTGTCCCCTGTGTGGGCTATGTGTGCTTTTCTGTTGTGGTGGGGTTGCTGTTACTGCAGGCACACAAGTTGGCTAGGCTGAGCCCCTGGCTGGCTGGTTGTAAGGCTCAGGGCTACTATGGTCACTTTGCTCACTTTCTTGGGTGGGGGGAGCCCCAGCACAGCTGGCTGCAAAGCTGATAGTGCACAGCTGCTGCTGTTTTGCTGTTAAGTGAGTCAGGCCCCCAGCATGGCTGGTTGCTAGACTCAGGGGCTCACAATTGTTGCAGGCCTCTGGCCTGGGAGGCTGTTATCAGCTCTCTCAGGAGTGCAGCTGGGTGGGTCTGGCCCCAGGTGTGGCAGCACAAAGATCGTTTCCGGTGTTGGAAGGAGGGGCAGATCCTCTGTGTGGCTGTTTGAGAAGGCCAGTGGCACAGGTCTCCTGCAGCTGACATGCCCCCCTGTCCAAGGGCCTACCTTCCCCACCAACGGCTGCAGTCCTGCCCCACTCGCAGGGCCTACCTGCACGCCCCTCCCTACCCAGCTGCACTGAGCTGGACCCACACACTTCCAAAGTTCCGTGTGGGCTTGCTTGTTAGTAAGGCCAGTCGCTAGGGTGAGTTGTCTGCCCTGGCTGAGCTGGATGAAATTGGTGCTCTAGTGGGTGAGGCAAACCCCTCTGCTAACTAGGGGAAGAAATCCAGTGACGTCTGCTGGTGTCTGTGTCAGCACACCTGCACTAGGTCACAATAATGGCCTTCACCGGTGTCTCAGTCCCTGGGGAGGTGGTCCCAGACACCTCCTGCGTCTCTGGGATGCATTCAGAGCTTATCAAGTGAATCTCTTTTGCCAAAGGACTATGTATCTTTGGTGATTTTGTGTTTGTTTTGGGAACTGGTGAATCTGTGCTTGGGCCCTTTAAGAGCAGGCTTTTCTTTCTCTTATGTTAAATAGCTTTTCTGGGGGTATCCCCCATTTGTTTTAATAGCCAGCAAAGCCAGGTATTGTGACACTTGTCTCGGTTGTACTGAATTCAAAGGCTGCTTATTGTGGCATAGCTCTCCCGCTCAGATACCCTGCGCCTCTAGGAAAAGCTTTATACTTTAAGATTGCTTTCTGCCGTGAAGCCCTGCTGGTAGAATATTGTTTTTTTCTCAGCAGAGGGGTTTTTCTGCCTCTTTCACTTCTGTCAGTGTTGTCGCTTGTTGTGGGGGTTCTTTTTATCCAGTTTCCAGTTCTCTCTCAGAGGTAATTGTTCCACAGATAGTTGTAGATTTGTTGCGTCTGTTTGAGGAGGTGAGTTGAGAGTCCCCTTATACTGCCATCTTCTGAGCAATCCTCTTGCATTTCTTTATTGGTGATGTTAAACACCTTTCATGTACCTGCTGGCTGTCTGTATGTCTTCTTTGAAAAAATGTCTATTCAGATCCTCTGTCCATTTTTTAATCAGATTGGTATTTTTGGTTTGTTTTTGAGTTGTATAAGTTCTTTATATATTTTGGATATTAATCCCTTTATCAGATATATGATTTGCAATTATTTTCTCCCATTCCATAGGCTGCCTTTTCATTTTGTTGATGGTTTCCTCTCTGTACAGGAGCTTTTTAGTTTTGTATAGTCCCACTTGTTTATTTTTGCTTTTGTTGCCTTTGCTTTTGGTGTCAAATCCAAAAAATCATCATTAAGACACATGCCAGGGAGCTTACCTCCTATAGTTTTTTCTAGGAGTTTTATGGTTTCAGGTCTTAGCTTTAAGTCTTTAATCCACTTTGAGTTAATTTTTGTGATTGGTGTTAGATGGTGGTCCAGTTTCATTCTTTTGCATGTGGCTGTTTAGTTTTCTCAGCACCGTTTATTGGAGAGACTGTCCTTTCCCCATTGTGTATTTTTGGCTCCTTTGTCATAAATTAATTGACCATATATATGTAGGTTTATTTCTGGGCTCTCTGTTGTGTTCCATTGATCTATGTGTGTCTGTTCTTATGCTAATACCATACTGTTTTGTTTACTATAGCTTTGTAATATGGTTTGAAGTCAGGTAGCATGATGCCTCCAGCTTTGTTCTTTTTTCTCAGAATGGCTTTGGCTGTTTGCAGTCTTGTGTGGTTCCATTACAAATTTTAGAATTGTTTCTTCTATTTCTGTGAAAAATGCCATTGGAATTTTGGTAGGAATTGCATTGAATGTGTAGGTTGCTTTGGGTAATATGGACATTTTAGCAATGTTAATTCTTCCAGTCCATGAACATAGAATATCTTTCCATTTATTTGTGTCTTCTTCAGTATCTTATAGTTTTCAGTGTATAGGTCTTTCATCTCTTTGGTTAAATTTATTCCTCGGTATTTTATTCTTTTTGATGCAGTTGTAAATGGGATTGTTTTCTTAATTGTTTGTTCCGATAGTTTGTTATTAGTATATAGAAATGCAGCAGATTTGTGTATGTTGATTTTGTATCCTGCAACTTTACTGAATTCATTTATTCTGACAGTTTTTTGGTAGAGTCTTTAGGGTTTTCTATATGTGGTATCATGTCATCTGCAAATAGTGAGAGTTATACTTCTTTCTTTCCAATTTGGATGCCTTTTATTTCTTTTTCTTTCTTAATTGCCCTGGCTAGGACTTAATACTATGTTGAATAAGAGTGAGCATCCTTGTCTTGTTCTTGTTCTTTATAGGGATAGCTTTTAGCTTTTCACCATTGAGTATGATGTTAGCTATAGGCTTGTAATATATGACCTTTATTATGTTGAGGTACATTCCCTCTCTACCCACTTTGTTGAGAGTTGTTATTATAAATGGATGTTCAATTTCAAAATTGTATTTCTAATGGGCCTATTTCTCTTCAGCAGGCATATGGCTATGGTCCATACAGTGGTGCTTACCCGCCAGGGACTCAAGTTGTCTATGCTGCGAATGGGCAGGCTTATGCTGTACCCTACCAGTACCCGTATGCAGGTAACTCATGCCAGCTTTCCATTCCTTGTTTCTCTTCATTCAGTGGGTAGATCAGTGAAGCCTGAACAATTTTTATTTCTCAGTTTAAGGATAAACGAGCTATGTTTTTTGGTTATAGACCACACATCACTCTGCTACTATGCTTTTTTTAAAAAAATAAGTAGTATGTATTTTCACTGTTTTACAAAGCTGGAATAGGCTTGATTTTTAAAACTTTGCTATTGTATCCAGATTTGTTTCCAAGAACAGAATTTGTACTTACTAGGTTTCACTTACATTAAGAAACTGCCAAACTAAGAGGCCCATTTTAAGGGATAAGAGATAGTCTTTCTCCTGTTTTTTCCTTTTGGTAGCATCCTTTAAAATTATCACTACCGAGGTGATGTTTCATTTTGCAAGTGAAGTACAGGCCTAGAAGGCTTGTATTGGTTCTCGGCTTTTGATATGCTTCTGTCCGTTTTTCACCTCACCTGAGACAAATTGTAGGTGTGAGTGACTGGCCTGTGAGTAGCATCAAGTCCTGGGCGCAGCCGGGCTGGGGGAGGTCTTTAGGGTTGAGGTGCAGGAGAATGCTGGCTGTGGGTCTGGAGCCTACAGCCAGGATTAGGGTACCAGAGCCACCTGGCTGATGGACTGAAGAGCAGCACCCAGATCCACTGAGCAGGTGTAGTCAGGCAGGGGCAGGTCACAGTGGGCGTGGCATGTCAGTGACACTCAAGAGAATGAGCTGGCGAATAGACTGGAATGGGAACCCAGAGCTCATGGAGACATCGGGAATCTGAGGGGGCTTAATGCAAGCCTAGTGCAGTGTCTTAACACAGAAGCAGTAGAAGGGGAATCTGTTATCAGCAAGGGAGTAGTCACTGATATTAATGCCCCAGAGAAGCCAAGCTGCTATAGGGTCTCTTGATTTGGCTGGCCCCAGAGCCAAAGTGTCCTTCTTGTTAGTGGTGCTTACTTTGGTTTCACATACATTAGCACCTAATACAAAGAGAGAGTTTCTCTACTCATCTATTCCTGGAATCTGATGCAGTTCATTCAGTTAGCATTGACTCAATGATTCTGCCTTGCTTGACTTTTTTCATGTCAAGTTGAAAACTAATAAAATAATAATGCTAAAAAATGAAATATTTGTCCATCCTCTGATCCTAGCACAACTATTTTTATTTGAATAACTTTCCTTACATAAAATAAATTCTTCATCTTTGTAGTCTTACATTACTTTTTGCATTTCTGTTCTCATTTTAAAATTTTATATATTTTGTTCAGAGTGCTACATAATCTTCATAAGGATTTTTAATCATTGAATATTAACATATTGGATGATATATTATTAGTTAAGTTTTCTAGTAGTGGCTGTTTACTTTTGTCTCTTCCTTTTTGCTATCGTAGATATTGCTTTGAACATCTCTAATCATTTTCTTTTTTATTCCTGTTAAATATGTATTAGGATACATTTCTGATTTATGTATATTAAATTAATATATTAAAGAGCATAGACACTTTTGTTTCTTTTGATACCATTAAAAAGTTATACAAGTTTTTGGGGCCGGCTTGGTGGTGTAGTGGTTAAGATCACGTGCTCCACTTTGGTGGCCCAGGGTTCACAGGTTTGGATCCCCGGCACGGACCTACGCACTACTTGTCAGGCCATGCTGTGGCGGCTCCCACGTATAAAGTAGAGGGAGATGGGCGCGGATGTTAGCCCAAGACCAGTTGTCCTCAGCAGAGAGAGGAGGATTGGCAACAGAGGTTACCTCAGGGCTAATCTTCCTCACCAAAAAAAAAAAAGTTATACAAATTTTCAGACATACAAAAGTAAGGACAGTAGTATAATGAACTATCATTTGCCCGTTACCAGCTTCAGCAGTTACCTAATTGGGGGCTAATTTTGTTTCACCTGTACCTCCTCTCCCCACCTCTGGATTATTTTGGGGGAAATCCAGACTTTCTATCATTTCATCTGACAGTATTAAAATAAGTCTTGATACTGTTTTCCAAGTTGATTCCCAGAACAGTTTACTAATTTATAAGGCCACTAGGAGTTAATGATATACTGATTTTTCTATAGTCTCATAAAGATGGCCTATTTTTGTGCTCTAAACGTTTGTGTGTGTGTGTGTGTGTGTGTGTGTGAGAGAGAGGAAGGTCAGCCCTGTGTTAACATCCATGCCAATCCTCCTCTTTTTTTTTTTTTTTTTTGTGTGTGTGTGTGAGGGAGATCAGCCCTGAGCTAACATCCGTGCTAATCCTCCTCTTTTTGCTGAGGAAGACCAGCTCTGAGCTAACATCTGTTGCCAATCCTCCGTTTTTTTCCCCAAGGCCCCAGCAGACAGCTGTATGCCATAGTTGCACATCCTTCCAGTTGCCGTATGTGGGACGCGGCCTCAGCATGGCTGGAGAAGCGGTGCATCAGTGTGCGCCCGGGATCCGAACCCAGACCGCCAGTAGCGGAGCGCGTGCACCTAACCGCTAAGCCATGGGGCCGGCTCCAACCAATCCTCCTCTTTTTGCGGGGGAAGACTGGCCCTGGGCTAACATCTGTGCCCATCTTCCTCCACTTTATATGGGACACCGCCACAGCATGGCCTGACAAGTGGTGCATCGGTGCGCTCCCGGGATCCCAACCCGGGCCGCCAGCAGCGGAGTGCGCGCACTTAACTGCTACACCACAGGGCTGGCCCCCTCTAAAAGTTTTGATAATCTCATTAGGTCTAGAGGAGAATCATCACATTGCTTTACATTTCTTTGATGACTGGCAAAGAGAAACATTGTATAATTGTTTACAAATTATATTTCCCTTGGATGAATTATTTTTCTTTACCCATTTATCTTGGGGTTGATGGTGGGTTTTTAAGCCCTAGCCTAACTGTAGATAGAGCCTGCCTCTTATTCAGCCCCCAGGCCACAGACTGGGGTCATGCTTTCCGGTGTCCATAGAGACCCTCGGCGTGCCTAGAGCTGGTTAAAGACCTTCTCTTCAGTATGATTGGGACCAGCGGTCAGTCAGCCAATTTAAAAAGTAAAAAAAGTGCTGTGTATATGTTATAAATATTCTGTTTTAATTTGTCCATGTTAGTGGACACTTGTTTAGCTGTCTTTTGATGTGGGCTTGAGGTCTTTGGTTTGAGTTGGTTCCTTTGGTGGGAGTCCTCTGTGTCTGTCTTGTAGAGGTCCTACTCATGACACATCATTGCACAGCAGTGTCCAGGGCATGTCCCAGAGCAGACCTCTAGATTTGGTGATTGTAGGCCCCCCTCCCCCATCTTTTATAATTTACTCAATTTCTTGGTTTGATAGTAATTTACCTGCCTTTATTTAGTCTCTCCTAGAGTATCTAAGTTGTCATAGAAACAATATCTGCCCTTTTTACATTCACATTTTGACCATTTATGTAAACCTTAGTTAAATTAGATAATTAAAATAAGTCTAACTTGGAAACATCCACAGCTGACTTTGGCAAGGACCCAGGTCTCTGGCAAGAGCAGAGGTAAGCAGGAGCTGTAGGAAGGTGGTCTCTTGGTCACGCGGTGAGGGATTCCTGCAGTGGGACCTACAGAGCAAATGCAGATTTAGATTTTCCAGGGGGTCTTTTAGTTAGGTCAGCTTAGGAGTTCCTACTGTATTACAGTTCACTACTTGGAGTTGCCTAACTGAAAATTTTAAATTTCAAGGCTGTGAAAGTGAAGGCTTCAATTCACCAGTTTTGAGATTTAAACATTGCATAAAAAATCATTTGCTTCTAATCCTATTACCTGTACTTGATCAGCCCTTAGGTTTATAATGGTCTCCTTGTACTACTCTGTGGCTCTGATTTTTCTTTCCCATCATCCTCCATCGTATCTGAGGCAAGAGTGGTCAGGAGTGCACACTGTAGCCCCAGTGCCTGGCCTTGCGGGCCCTTACTGCTCTTAATCCCTTTGTGCCTTTTTGCCCATCTGTAAAGTGGGGATAATAGTAAACTCAACTCATGGGTTGTTGTGAGGATTCAGTGAGTCACTCCATGTAAGTGCTTGTGACACTGTAAATGCTTAGACTGGGAAGTGCTTACAGGTGTTAGCCTTCATTGTTGCTATTGGTTTCACTTGCATTCTTCGTCCACATGGACTCATTGCTATTGGATTAGTCTCGAGCTCTCCTAAGGTTGAACTGTGAAAAGGAATAGCGGGTCAAGGATGAAAGTTAGCACTATTTATATGTGAGCAATTTTAAAGCTAATTAGCTATTAGACAATATAGCTGTGAAGTATAGAAGAGAAGAAATAATATATTTCCAGTTGTAAACTTTAATCATGCAAATTAAATATTAAATTTGTTTAAAGTTTCTTTTTTTAGAAGTTTGTCCTTTAACATAAATATTTTTCCCCATAAAGACATTATGATTAAAAATGAAGAGCAAATTATATTAGCAGATTTAAGGTTTAATTTAGGAATAGTTTACCTGAATACTCAGAAGCTAATTAGCTTTTCAGTGGGTTTTTCATTTTTAGCTTTCTATGGGGATTCTTGACACTCCCATCGTCTGGAGGCTCTGTGTATCTCCCATGCTCTCCCCCGTCTACCCGTCATCCTGATAAGTGTGATGTGGAGGGCTGAAGTAGAAATTGGAGACTGGAGTTTGCAATTTTGTTAGGATTCTGCTCTTTGTAGTGTTTGAGACTTTGGACTGTGGAAAGCTGCCCATTTTAATTTTCTTTTAGTGCGATCTTAGAAATGGCGCTGTTCTCACTGGGCCAAGTCTGGTCACCTTAGCCTGAGGCTGGGGACAACTGGGGAGCACTCATGCAGCCACCTCACCACCTCTCCTCGGCTACTCTGAGAAAGGTGCCCAGTCGAGTGGGCCATCTTTTTGAGTGAATGTTGGATTCACAAACTGCTCCTCAGAGGTCTATTTTTTCCTTCTGTTTTAGGACTTTATGGACAGCAGCCTGCCAACCAAGTCATCATTCGTGAGCGCTATCGAGACAACGACAGTGATCTGGCGCTGGGCATGCTGGCTGGAGCAGCCACAGGCATGGCCTTAGGGTCCCTGTTCTGGGTCTTCTAGAGTCCTTAAAATCTGGATATGCATAGCTTCTGACACCCTGTGTGCAATAATATAATTTGCAGGGCATTTCTGTTTGTGATAAGTGTTTTTAATAATAGTTCTTTTCAAAGTAGTGACATCATAGTTATAACTAATCCGTAGAAGTACCACAGAGAAGGCGTTGGACTGCTGTTTAGCTAAAACATGGACTCCTGGGGACACTGGCTCATTTCAAATTTCCTTATGGAACTCTTGGAATCCTTTATTTGAACATACCAATTAGGAAAGGCATTTTCTTTTTAGAGGTAGATGTAGTGCTTAAGGGATAATTTATTTTTGTGTTAGGCTCGTTAGTAATATGGTGATCTATGAGTGAGTGAGTGAGTGTGGCAAGAGAATGTGCAGCTTCTTTCAGTTGAACATCAAACCTTGAAACCTCAGACAGAACTGGCTGCTTGTTACTTCAGGAGTCTAGGCTGCTGAGCTGCCAGGGGACTTCCCTGAGGCAGTGATGTGATGTCCCCACAACATGTGGGACCCGCAGGCCTCCAGCAAGGCTGACTGCTCAGGATGATGGGGGCAATTCCCTCTGTAACATTGATGCTTCTTTTATTATTACTTGTTTGTGTTTGGTAGCAATCTTTGGAAAATACTCCAAATTAGAAATTGACTTGAGCCTCAAAGTTTTAGGGCTTTATCCCTTAAAACTTGAAGAAGGCAAAACAATTACAAACAAGTATGTAGAGGTAGATTTGCTTTATTCAGAAGCATTATGTTTTTACTGTCTGCTTTGAGTATTTTTATTGCTGCCTCAGCCTGCTTAGAACTTATTTTTCTACTTGTTGAGGAAGTAATATTAAAAGAATGATGGGGAAGATGGAACGAGAGCTGTAGTTACAGTGTTACTGGTTCAGGCCTTGCCGGGATTGCACTGCACAGAGGATGCACCTTTTCTGCTGTTGAAGAGCAGTTTCCTGTCCTGTGCAGGACTGGGGCACTGTGGCTGTCCCCTGAGCCCTGGGGTGTGTGTGGCGCCCCGGTGGTGGCGTGGTGCATGCCTGTGGGAGACACTCAGGTTATAGAAGGGAAATGAGGCCTAAGGATGTGAATGACCTCAAGATATCACTCACCGGACCAGGGCACCAGGTGTGTTTTTATTTCTGACTCAGATGTCATAGAGAAGCCTAAACCATTTAATTTTGAGCCCCAACTATGTGTGAAGCTTGGGAAAACCCACAGTCCTGCATTTCTGTTATTTCTTTATATGAATTTTTAAAGCTCTTGATTATTCCAGTTTTCTGTCCTGCATGCTTTAGAAAATGTACTTTTATGAAGGCAGATTAGCACAGTGAAGGTCCTGCCCCTCCGCTCCATGTGACCCTATTTTCCATAAAATACACTCCTGGTAGCACAAATGCTGTTTTTTACTCTGTGTGTCCAGTTAAATACATACATCCTCTTTTGTTTTACTGGTCAACGACTCCATCTCTGAGGCAGACTTAAATAGATCTCCATGTGAGGCCAGATGCCAAATGAACTTTGTGGTGACTGCAGGTCTGTTTTCCCAGCCAATTCTAGTGAACTTGTTGACACTGGAGAGTGTGTTTCCAGCAGAAAGGAAGTGTAATTATCATCTCTTTGGATATTGACATAGTGGAAAATTGCCAGATGTGATGTACGGTAACACTGGTTTTGATGGTTAAAAATGTTACTTTTGTGATTTTACATCCTATGTAATAAGAATGGCTTTGTTCAGATGGTAATCATTATTAAAGCTGTATGCTTTACTTACAAAATATTAAACTGAGTTTTTAATGTTGCATTGGGGTATTAATTTTGAACTTGGGAGTTACTGGAATCACAGACTATTGAGTTATGTCACTGAAATGCCCTTGAAGCAAACAGTCTCCCGGTTTTCCCCTGGCTGCCCTCTAACTGAAGGGGGAGAGCTGTGGACTGAAGCTTGGGCACACATGTGTGTGCCTCTGTCTTCAAGTCCCTGTCCCTGGTAGGGCCAGCCCCATTGAGCAACCATACTTGAGACTGGAAGTTCACTGTCAACTAGTGACTAGATCCTGATATGAAATGCATACGGGGTGTAAAGGTGGGCTGAGATTTCATTTCCCTGGCCCACCTCCCGTAGATGCCAACCTTTTGATTGCCTCACTTAGGTAATCCTAAATCAAGAAGTTCGGTGAGTTGGAAGGAACTTGTTGGGTTTGAGTAAGCATTTTACTTCCATGTGCACTTTTAAATAATGCACTTGGAAGAAGTTGGCCATTGACATTGTACACATGCCAGTCTGATTGTTTTTTAGCTCTGTTCTTTTAATTCCTGGAATTAATTTTAGGGTCTTAGGTAGTAAAGAGGAGGGAGAGACCAGAGGCTGTGTTTTCAGATCACCATCTATGAAACAGGCCAGACCAGGACTCAAGATCTGATCATAAGGAGAAGTTCCTGTAGTTGAGACAGAATGACCTAAGTTTGTTTTCTACATCAATTGTGATCCTATGTAATCTTTGTTTCCCCTTCCCAGGTTTATGTAGACACAGGCATGGAATTGCAGTTCCGCTTTTTCCCTCTAGAGTTGATCTTTTTTCTGATTGCTTCCTTGTCTCTTGTATTCCGTGTGTTCACAGAACCTATTTTTCCCTGTATATGAAAATTGTATGTTTATAAGTGAAAATGTTAGTTCAGTAAATGATTGTTAACCTTAAAGCATGTTTCATTGTAACTTCTGTTTTTTAAAAATTTTATTTATTTAAACTAAAACAAAACCAAAAACAGTTCACCCCTTTCTCCCACTCTCCACCCCCCACCCCCCAACTCTGGCAACCATCAGTCTGCTTTTTAAAAATTATTTTGTAGTGATACACTGTCAGCTTTTTCTGCTGCATCATGGGCAGTGAGAATGCCATTTACTGAGCATTCCCTAAGTGCTAGGGAATGTATTGTCACATCAGAAAACAAGGACTCATTGAATTCTTACAGTAACTGTAAGGCAGGTATTATCCAAGCTACACTGGATGAAACTGAGGCTCAGAAGTTCAATACTTTTCTCAGGAGCACACAGGTAGTAAGTGAAACGGGTTTACATGTGATGTTAAAATGTGTTCTTGGGGCTGGCCCCATGGGGTAGCAGTTAAGTGCGTGCGCTCTGCTGCTGGCAGCCCGGGTTCGGATCCCGGCGTGCTCTGATGCACTGCTTGTCAGGCCATGCTGTGGTGGCATCCCACATAAAGTGGAGGAAGATGGGCATGGATGTTAGCCCAGGGCCAGTCTTCCTCAGCAAAAAGAGGAGGATGGGCATGGATGTTAGCTCAGGGCTGATCTTCCTCACAAACAAAACAAAACAAAAACGTATTCTTTATTCCTATGCCACGGGCATTTGTAAGAGTATAATTTCCATAAGAACAGATGGGTGGCATGTGTAATCTAAGGCGACTATTAGAAAACTGACACTACCTTCCTCAACCAGATACACCTGACAGTGTGGGTCCAATAACTTCTCCACTGTCTGGGTACAGGCTTTGTGTTTTTGTTTTGTTTTTAAAAATAATTTTAAATTTACTTTAGTTACCTCACGTTCCTCTGGGATAGCTTTTCTGTTTGTCTCACCTGTTGCAGACTTTGGTTATGGTGATATGTGGTTGCCTGTTAGAGTTTAAGATGAGGAGTCTCACTCCAGAAGCTCTGGGTCTCTTGGTTTCTTTCTCTAGAGAAGAATCCTTTCCTATTTTGCCTGGAGTCAGTTATTCTGGTTGTGGGGGAGGGGAGACACTCCTCACGGTCGTTGCAGCCCTCCCCTTTCAGCCTGACTTTATTCCTATCTTCTGCTGGCTGGGCCCCTGCTGTCTTTGGCTCTTTTTTGTTTTTTAATTTAATTTTTTGAATAGGTTATACATATACATAGCTCCAAAATTAAGAAAAAAGAGGTTCAGTAAAAGGTCCTCCATCTGCCCGTTTTCTGACCTCTTGGCTTAACTGCTGATCCTGGTTTATTGATCCTCCATGAGGTTCTTCATGCATATGTAAGGCAGTACAAAGATACATCCTTATTTTTCTCCTTTTTTTACACAAAGTGGTAGTATGTACAACAGTGTCCTCAGATTTTTTGGTCTCAGGATATTTTTACAGTATTAAAATTTTGAGGCCTCCAAAGAGCTTTTTTAATGTAAGTTATATCTATCAATATTTGCTATATTAGAAAATAAAATTGACAGGTTTAAAAACTTAAGAAAAACGGCAAACCCATTGTATAGTGACATTTTAAAAATAGAATTTATATAAAATATTTTCCCAAACAAAATCAGTGAAGCAAAGCATTCACATTTGAACAAATTTCTTTAGCATCTGGCTTAATAGAAAACAGCTGGATTCTCCTGTCTGCTTCTGCATTCAGTCTGTTGTGGTTTGTCTTTTGGTTGAGGTACAGAAGGAAATATGGCCTCACGTACATGTGTAGTTGGAAAGGGAGGACCCAGCAGATCCCCTGAAAGGGTCTAGGGCACCCTCAGGGGTCCTTGGATCAGACCTTGGAAACTGCTGATGTATGCTGTCTTGTACCTTATTTTTTTTTATCACTTAACATATCTGAGGTATTTCCATATCAGCACATACAGAACTTCCTCATTCATTTTATTTGTCCTATAATTTATCCAGTGCCCTTTTGACTTTTGCTGTTGCTAACAATGCTGTAATGAAGGATATTGTATAGAAGTTACTCATCCCAGTGTGGTGCTCTTCTTGAAGGTGTTGTGTTCTCTTTGGTCATGTGGAGCTAGTGGATGACAAGGTTCCCTGGAGCATAACTGCCCATGTTAGTCTGCATCCAGGATCACACCAAGACCTGGAAGTGTGAGTCGGAGATCTCTGTATGTGCAGAGCTGACTGCTGTGATGTGCCACCTCAAATCTCAGGGGCTGAAGGCCTGAAGCTTTGCTGTTCAAGTCCCAGTCCACTGGTTTGCATATGAGGGGAGACCTGCTCCAGGTGGTCATTCAGAGAGAGCAGCTTCTTCCATCTGGTTGCCTCGGAGTACTGCGTGGGAGCTTCTGCATGTTGCTGGAAGAGAAAGATGTGAAGACAACAGCAACTCCTCAGCGTGCCTGTGGTGCTCAAACTTGTGCTCACATTCCAGTGATGAGAGCTAGTCACATGGCCCTGGCTGCAGGCAAGGGGCTGGGAGCTGTAGTATAAGTTCAGGGGGAAGCCGCTCTGGCCATAGCTGCTGATCAACACGCAGTAAATGGTAGATAATGAT